TCCCCGGCGGCGCGAGCCACCCCATCCGCCCTCAGTAAACATGGCGGCTGGGGCGGACAGGGGGTGGGGCCCCGTTGCCACCGGCCTGGGGCGCTGCGGGCCTGGCTCTCAGGCAACCCACGTGTGGAGACCAGGCAGGTGGGCCGGGCGGGCCGGGAGGCTATGGGGTTGGTGCAGGGAGGCTCGGAAGGGCGGCGTGAGGACGAGGGCGGGGAGGAAAGGCGGGGAGGGAGAGGACGGAGCGAGCCGGCTCCCAGCGTGGGGATCAGGAAGGTCTGAAGTGCGAACGCGAGGTGGTTCTGGCACTTTGTGGAGTGCGGTGGGGCGAGGAGGCGCAGGCAGGAAAGGCAGAGGGTAAGGGTGATGCAGGAGCGAAGGGCAAACCGCTGTCGGAGGACGGAGCTTTAGGGAACGCTGCGGACAGCCCCGATCCCCTTCACCTCTGTTCTGAGACCGCGCAGCGCGGACCTGGGTCAGGAGGCAGGGGCAAGAGACACGCTCCCCTAATTCGTCATCTCCGTCTCAGGGCAAGGGAGCGATGCTGATCTCAGGAAGAATGAAGGGACCTTCCTAGCCTTGGCTGAACAGCGAAGGTAAGGCCGGCAGCGCTGTCCCAGGGTATCCTGACCCTGACTGAAGGACGCTAGAGGAGTCAGCTCCGAGAGGGACAGTGTTGGCTTGGTAAGGACCAAGCAAAAGCTCACGAGAGCCGACCAATGCACATCTCGAGTAGCTGGTCCAGACTTTCTGTCCTCATAATTCCAGGTATCTATCTACCTGGAATCTGATAACATTTCCATTCAGCTAACTGGGTAATAGTTCTTGGCGGGTTTTTTTTTTTTTTTTTTTTTTTAGGGGGGTTTTTTTTTTTTTTTTGAAGAGGGTTATTATTATTATTATTATTATTTTGCTTTCAGGCATGTGCGCTTGCCAGCCAGCTAGAGACAGACAGAAAGTGAGAAATTCACCCCCCAGGGAGGATGGCCACGCAGCAATCCCTTCTCCGTTCCATTCCATTCCGTTCCTTTCCTCCTCCCGGGATCTTGATCTTGATCTTGGGCACGCATGCACACGCGCTGGGCGTGAGTTTTAAGCCACTGGGTCCGGGAACCGTGGTCGACTACGTGGGAGTCCAGCGACATAGCCATTACACTAACTGCTGGTCCCAGTTCTTGGTGCTTTAATGAGGGCCCTAAACCCTTTCAGACCCAGGCACAAGGGCTCATTTCCCAGGGTTCATTTTGGGACCATTTGTCCTGCAGTGGGCCCTTCATCTTTTGTAGGCATCAAAGCAGCCCAGAGCAGACAGTGACCAAAGTGAGTTAATCTGTTTTTAGATAATTTCATGGGACCTGCAGTTGGCGTAATGACTATGTCGCTGGATTCCCGTGTAGTTTGCCTGCAGTTTGAGTCCTGGACCTGGTGACTTAAACTCACACCTGGTGTGTGTGCGTGCCCAAGGCCCTGAGGGGAGAATGGAGGAAAAGGGTTTGCAATGTGGCCATCTTCCCTGGGGCGGTGGGAGAAGGGATTGCAGTGTGACTCGCTTTCTGTCGAGTGCACACACCCTACAGCAAAAACTTCTCTAAAAAAAAAAAAAAGAATTTCATAACCTGTTGCTTGTGCCCTAGTATGCTACTGTTTTAGGGAAACTCAGCTCTTCCTTTTTTTTCTCTTTCAGAGAGATTTAAGTACATGGAGTTTGACTCAGTGTAGGATTTTTAGGATGGTGCTGCTCTGTTCTTAGATTCCTCTCTGAAGAAGGTTTTGTTACTAGGTCAAGTTTTTCCTGACTTGCCTGGTTTTCTTTTCAGTCATTCAGGAGAGTTCTCTGCATTTCATGCAAATGGTATTTTATCATGATGTTCCATGAGTTTATTCCAGCATGAGAGTAGGGTGGGAGGGGTTCTGTTTTAAGTTAGGATCATTAAGCACCCATTGGATGATTAGGGGAGACACAAGAAGTAAAGATTTTAGGGAGCAGCAGGTGGCGTGGTGGTTTAGGTTGTTAGATTCCCACATGGACGACCATGGTTTGCGTACTGGACCTGCCAGTTTGCTTTCTCACTTTCCCTTTCTCTCTTTCTCAAGAAAGAAGTTAAAAAATAATAATAATAACAAGTGGAATTAAATAAATTGTTTGTTAAAAAAAAAAAAGAAAAGATTTTATTACTTACAGGTCCTGGGGGTTATAAGGCCAAACACATGGATTCAGCGGGCATGTGGGGAGAGAAATACCTGCCTTAATTGAGTCCATACAGATTTGCAGTGGGGAGTTTTAATTGTTGGGTTTAAAGCAAGCAGGCACGAGTTCCAGGAAGCCATGCTGTGACAGAAGTAGTCACTGCCGTAGCTGCACGGTCCATGTGGGATGGGAAGGTCAACGTGGTCAGTCAAGTGGGCTATATCTAGATGTCACATAGAAAGGTGGTCACCAGGAGGCAGTTGTGTAAGGCAAATACCTGGTTCCATCACACTGAGAAAAAAAACCTGCTTCTGAGAAAGTCCATTTTATGTTCAAAATGGATGCTGAGGCAACATGAAATTGTAAGACGTCACTATAGTCTCCCTTTCTGTACACCTGTGTCCCAGCCTGTACTGGGACCTTTCTCCAACCACCTCGCTGTATGTTCTTATTAGCACACAGCAGACTTCTCTCCTCCTACTCTGCAAAAGTTTCTGTCAAAGAGGAGTGCAAAAACTCAGGCTATTGCGATGTCCAAGGCCCATGGCAGCTTTACGTTAAACCGGAGTGGCCTGTTGGGAACCTTGTTCTGGGTGCTATGGAACACATGACCCAAGAGTCTCCTGTCTTCGTGGGCCCAGCAGGTTCAGAGTTCAGGTTTAGTCTGCATGAGAACCAGTCTTACAACCAGGCCACATTTGCCCAAGAACATAGTGTGGGAAAGCCAGAAGACAGCCTGATCTTTCTCCTACTGGGCAGGAGCAGAAGACAGGGTTTATATTAATCTGTCCCTTGATCAGTTGAAATCTTAACTCTGTTTTATGAATGACTGACTATAGTTAGCACTCTGCCCCTGCTCTGGTTCTGGGAGTAGTAAGTATAGGGCCCCTGGTGAGTCACCGGTTACAGCTATAAACAACACTCTCTTTCTTTCTTTCTTTTTTTCTTTTTAAAGAATTACTTGTTTTAAGGCCTGGCAGGTAGAGTGGTGGTTAGATGCACTGGACTCCCACATGGTTGGTCATGGTTCGAGTCTTGGACCTTGGCAGGTTGCTCTCTGTCTCTCTTTCTCTGTGTCTTGCTATGGTCAAATTAAAATAACAATAATGATAAGTAAAATAAAGTAAATAATTCTTTAAAAAAATTACTTATGTTACCTTTTATTATTATTATTTTAATTTGACCAGAGAGAGAGAGAAAGAGAAAGTGAGAAGGCAAGCCACAAGGTCCAGGACTTGAGCCACAGTCAGCCATGTGAGGGTCCAGCCCCTTAATCACCATACCACCTGCCAGCCCTGCTTTTTTTTTTTTAAAATATAA